AAAGCTGTCTGTACCAGAGCTTTTGTTTGCTGGAAGATTTTTGATTATTGCTTCAATTTCTTCCATAGTTATCGGCCTATTCAAGTTTTCTTATTCTTCCTGATTGAGTTTTGGGAACTTGTATTTTCTAAGAATAATGTCCATTTCATCAAGGTTGCCCAGTTTGTTGGAATAGAGTTGTTCATAGTATTTTTTCATAATCTTTTGTATTTCTGTGGGGCTGGTTGTTAGTTCACCTCTTTCAATTTTGATTTTATTTGGGTCCTCTCTCTCTGCTTCATGGTGAGCCTGGCTAGAGGTTCATCAATCTTGTTTATCCTTTCAAAGAACCAGCTCTTGGTTTTACTGATCTTTTTTTGTTTTGTTTTTTTTGTTTGTGTTTTTTTGGGTTTTTGTTTTTGTGTGTGTCTCTACATCATTTATTTCCTCTCTGATCTTTATTATTTCCTTCCTTCTGCTAACTCTGGGCTTTTCTTGTTGCTCTCTAATTCTTTGAGTTGTAGGCTTAGATAATTTGTTACCATTTTTTCTTGTTTTTTGAGGTAAGCCTGTAGAGCTATGAACTTCCCTCTCAAGATTGCTTTCACTGTGACCCATAGATTTTGGATTGTTGTGTTTTCATTGTTATTTATTACCAGGATGCATTTTATTTCTTCTTTGATCTCTTTGGTAACCCAATCATTGTTTAATAAAGTGGTCGCCAACCTTTTGGATTCACAGGCCACTAGTGGTCCACAGCCCACTGGTTGGTGACCACTGCTCCAAAGGTTTCCTTAAACCAGCGGTCACTAACCTTTTGGACCTCATGGACCACCAGTGGTCCATGGCCACTGGTTAATAGCATGCTATTTAGTCTCCAAGTGTTTGATTTTTTTCATTCTTTTTATTGTAGTTGATTTCTAATTTTATGCCATTGTGGTCTGAGAAGATGCTTGATATGATTTCTATTTCTTGAATTTGAAGAGACTTTGCTTGTGTCCCAATATGTGATCTATCTTTGAAAATGACATGTGTGCACTTGAGAAGAATGTATATTCGGTAGCTTTGGGGTGAAATGTTCTGAAGATGTCAGTTAAGTCCATCTGATCTAGTAAGTCATTTAGGATTGATGTTTCTTTGCTGATTTTTTGTTTAGAGGATTTTTCCAGTGGTGTCATTGGGGTATTAAAGTCCCTTACTAAGACTGTGTTGTTGTTAATCTCTCGCTTGACATCTTTCAGAAGTTTTTTTTTTTTTTATGTATTTGGGTGCCCTTGTATTGGGTGCATATATGTTTACCAGAGTTATATCCTCTTGTTGAATTGCTCCCTTTAGTATTATGAAGTGGCCTTCCCTATCTCTTGTTATGGCTTCACTTCGAGGTCTAATTTGTCAGATATAAGTATTGCTACCCCAGCTTTTTTTTCATTTCCATTCGCTTGAAAACATTTTTTTATCCCTTCACTATCAATCTGTGTGAGCCCTTTGTTCTGAGGTGGTCTCTTGTAGAAAGCAGATATATGGGTCATGTTTTCTTATCCATTCAGCTACCCTATGTCTTTTGATTGGAACATTTGATCTATTTACATTTAAGGTTATTATTGATAGGTACTTGTTTGTTGCCGTTTTTATTCTTTACACCTGTGTTCCTCCTTTCCTTTCTATTGTTTTTACAGCAGTCCCTTTTGCATTTCTTGCATTGCTGGTTTGGTGGTAATAAACTCCCTTAGCCATTTTTGTCTGTGAAGCTCCTGATTTCATCTTCAATTTTGAATGATAGCCTTGCTGGGTATAGTATTCTTGGCTTTAGTCCCTTGTTTTGCATGACTTTGTATATTTTATTCCATTCCCTTCTGGCCTGATGTGTTTCTGTTGAGAAATCAATAGTCTAATGGGAGATCCCTTGTATGTAACTTTCTGTCTCTCTCTGGCAGCCTTTAGATTCTTACTTTGTTGTTCATGTTTGGCAGTTTAATAATGATGTGTCTTGGTGTCGGTCTTTTTGGGTTCATCTTGTTTGGGACTCTGTGAACTTCTTGGACTTGTGTGGGGTTTTTCTTCCCAATATCAGGGAAGTTTTCTGTCATTATTTCTTCAAATAGGTTTTTTATTCCTTGCTCAGTTTCCTCTCCCCCTGGCACCCCTATTATGCAGATGTTGTTTCATATTGTGTTGTCCCAAAGCTCCCTTAGGTTCTCCTCCTGTTTTTTAAGTTTCTTTTTTTCCAGTTGCTGCTCTATTTGGATATTTTTTCCTACCTTGTCTTCTAGCTCACTGATACGGTACTCAGCTTCTTCTAGCCTACTGTTGATGCTTTCTGTTGTGTTCTTTATTGCAGCTATGTCATTCTTCATTTCTCTTGGTTCTTCTTCATTTCCTCTTGATTCTTACACATGTTGAATTTGTCTTCCATCCTTTTCAGCATCCTTATGACCATTGCTCTGATTTCTGTCTCTGACAAATTGCTTGCCTCCATTTCATTAACTTCATTTTCTGGTGATTCCTCCTTTTCTTTTGTATGGGGGCTGTTCCTTTGTCTTCCCATTTTCACTCCTCTCAGGGTGTCTGGTTATGTGGCTCACTCTCTACCACATTGACTAAAAGGCACAAAATACAACTTGACAAGGCAACACAGAGGGAACAAAACACAAGTGTATTTATGACACTGATAACCCCAAACAAAGATGACCACCAGAGAAAAGAGACTTATGGGAAAGAACAGAGCACAAAAATGATACTGAGAAAAGGAAAACAGGTAAGAGAGAAAAGGAAAAGGAGAAAAAAGAAGGGGAAAGAAAATATACATATATGGGGGGAAACTTAACAAAACCAACAACTAAACCAAAAAATGCAAACAACAGACACCTGGGGAAAAAGGAGATGAATCTGAAGAGGCAGAGCTTATTTCCAGAAGGTGAGGTAAAGGAATTGAATGAATGGGGGAATGGCCATGATTCAGTATAGAGGAGATAGAAAGAGAATGAGTGTGTAAAATGAAAAGTAAAAAACAAAATACTCAAAAAAAATTTTCCCCTTTCTTTAATCTATGTATTCATCTATTTATGGAAAAGGAGAATAGAGCAGGGCACAGATAGTCCTGAGTTTGGTGAGTGGAACTAATTAAGCTATTAGTAGAAGAAGAGAACAAGCGAGGAGAGGAAAAACAAAAGCATAAAATAAAAAGCAAAAACAAAAAAATTAAACAAGAAGAAAAAAATTGGCTAGCGAAGAAAGAGAAAAGAGAAGGGTGCATGGACTTGGAGCAGGGGAAAGGAAGTTAGATATATTAGTAAGCCAATGGAGACTACTAAAGTAGTAATGCATCAATAGAACAGATAAAGAAGATCAATTTTTATCAATGAGTAAAAAGAAAGGAGAGAGAAAAACTAAAGCAGGTACAGGAGAAGAGAAACAGGATGGAAAAGGGGGAAGTGAGGAAGAAAGTGTTGTCATAAAGGAAAAATGAGATAGAGTAAAATAATGTTAAATAATAATAAAATAAAAATAGAATGTAGAATACTAATAAAAAATTTAAAAAAATCTATAATAATAAAAGCATGATATGCTAATTAGACTGGACGACCTTCCAGATGAAGCCGGAGTTGTGGGGCTGATCCCCTTGCATGAATTTCGTGCACTGGATCTCTGGTAATCTATATAAAAGCCTAAGCGACCAGCCGACTGGCTGGTAGCTATGATGCACACTGACCACCAGGAGGCAGACCCTCAACGCAGGAGCTGCCGAGCAACAACTTTGCAGAGTGCCCTCTCACACTCTGGGGCCCCTTAGGGGATGTCGAACTGCTGGCCTCAGCCCAATACCCGCAGGCCAGGCTGAGGGATCCCACAGTAATAATAATAGTAATAAAAAATAATAAATTAAAATTAAATATATATATAAATAAAAGGAAAAATTTTTAGTTTTTTAAGTAAAAGATTAAAAAAAAGCAAAGTGAAGTAGTGAAGTTCGTTCACTTCAGCTAAGTATTTAATGTCCCATGGGGGCTGGTCTAAGACCCTTCTCCACTGTTCTGTCTGCCACGTCTCAGCTTCCTGCTAGATAGTCAGCCACTGTGTTGAAGCTCCCAGCGATCCACCGCTCCTCTGCATCAGACGCTACAGCCTTGGTTTCAGGCAGGCGGGATCAATCTGCCAGCTTTGTTTTTCTGCCTGCTTTTAGCAGTATTTACACAAGCGTCTATTTCTGACACGGCCTCTAGGTGCTGGTGTTTCTGTATTAGTTTCCGGGACCAAATGGCCCCTCAACCCAGTCCCCCAGAGCTCCCTGGGGATATTTTGAGTCTTTATTTCCCTCCTGAGCTTAAGGCTGGTGCAGCTGCACTGCTAAGAGGGGCCTGGTCTCCAGGAGAAAAATGTCTGTTCAGGGTTGGAGGGAACGGACTGTCCCAGAGCTGGCTTCCTGGTCGCCTCTCTCTATTTTGCTCCCCAGCTTCCACAAACCCACCTTCCCCTGCATCGCAGCCCCGGTGAGTGTTTGTGATTGAAAGATCCTGGGTTTAGCGGGTAAAAGCAAGAACATTATAAAGACAGAGCAACCGCACCGCTGCACGTCTCTGTCTCCCCGGCCCTTCACGGCCAGTGCAGAACTTCAGGCTGCCTTTCTGGGCATAGCCTCCCATGACTGTGGGTTTAGATCTAGAGTCCTCACACGCTCGCATTCTCTTTCTCACTGCCGTCCTGTCTGCCACCATCTTGGATCTCTGACCATGTTTAATCTTTAAAATCTAAAGCAAATGCAGAAGTGTTCTTTTTTAGGACATAAACCTTTCATACTTTCATTTATGGATCAGTTTATTCATAAGTAACTGAATCTTTGGTTGTTCTTAGCTGAAAAAAGACTACAGCTGTTTTTACTCTTTTGCTTTAATGTTGAGTACTTGAGGGAGTTCATTAAGCTGCATTGTAATATACTGATCCTTTTTTTATATTTATAAATAAAATTCATGAAATTGCTTTTCTCTTGCCATATATTAGCCCAACCTTACTGTTTTCCTCCGTAGGTAATAGAGAAGAGGAAACCTAATCAATGACCGGGGAATAATGGAAGAAGATGGAAAAGAACTTGTTTGATGGGTAAGAAATAAGATTATAATAATGAGCTATTAATAGCATATGTATGGCCAATCTGTAATACTATGCCAAGGCTGGCATACTGTTAGTGTGAGTGACCAGTTTCTGTCTTTGTCTTGTCTTCATTCTGAACGTTCACCACTTTCTTCCTTTTCACTGTTGAGAAATTTTCAGTACTATGGATTAACTTAAGCTAAGAAAGGATACAACCATATTTGAAGATGGGATCTGAGAACCAGCGACCATACTAAAACAAGTCTAGGGTGGGTCTTGAAGCTTACGGGTGGTTGGATAGAGAATATGTGTGTCATGACCTGTCAGTATTAATGACCTTTTCTTGCTCTCCAAATACTGCCAGCTGCTGTGATGTTAGACTCACCATAGGGATCCCATTCATTAGGCAAGTGCAGATTTTATGTCAGGTGGCAATCAAATGGAATTCCATAGAAAGCCCAGTAAAAGGTGTGACTAAATTGATGAGATTATAACATTTTTTTAATTACCTAAGTCTGTACATTCTTATTGTCAATCACTTAAACAGGGGTGGCCAAAGCCTGCATCTTAGCGCTCCCCCACCCCCACCCCTACCCCAGGGAGTATACAGTGTATGATGCATATTTGTGGAACCTTCTTCTTAGCCTAGTGATTAAAAACTTGGGCTTAGGAGCCAAACTGGTTTTGACTAGCCACTGTTAACTTGACAGTTGGGTAAGTTAATTTCTCTGTGCCTCAGTTCCTTGGATATAAAGTGGAACAATAAAATGCCTATCTCATACCATGTTGAAGATTAATTAATCCATATAAAAAACTTGGAATAATGCCTGGAAGATAGTAAGTGCTCAGTAAGTGTTAGCTATAATTCCCATATGTCTTCCAGTTAGCATGTTTATGTACCAGCCCTCCACAGATTAATCTTTGTCTGAAATCCCCCAAGAGTTATACCTTCTTGGATAAAGTTAATCCCTGGCAAGGATTTTTAAGTTTTTTTCATGAAAGTTTTCTTTTTGGTTTCAAGCTTCATTTCTCTCAGAGTATGCTGCTAGACTAAGTGAAAATAGAGTTGTACACCTCTTACTGTATCTCTTATGATGTGTATGATACTTATAGGTATGTATGAATAAACACCTATTTTGGGGCTATGATAGTTTTACCCTGTCCATAAAACTATCTATGTCAAAGCTGGACTCAGGATTCTCTTGTTTCTGGAAAAGTATGTCAAATTTTCTAAGATTCCGTCAGTCTATTTTGAAGGACAGGTCTTTGGAGTTTCTTTTTTGTTTCACAGAATTCTAATAGTTTTGAAAATGTCGTTGATATATTTTTCATGGCTTGTCAGCATGAAGCAAGGACACTAAAAGTCATCTCTTTTTAATATTTTTTCCTCCTGTATTATTTTAGGGTTCTCTTAGATTATTATGTACTATTCTTTCTGCTCTATTTTAGAAGACTTATATGTGAAAACAAATTAACACTTACTGAGTATTTATTATGTGTCAGACTGTTTTTTAGTGCTTTACTCATTTACTCATTATGTCATTTAATCCTATCATCCACTTATGAAGCAGATACTATTATTGTCTTCATTTTAAAAACTGAGGAAAGTGAGACACAAACTGAGTTGTCCAAAGTCACAGAACCTGTCCTGTTGAGTAGAGGGGTGCTGGTCTAGTTAATGAACTCTTTTAAGGTTTCCTAAGGTGAATGTGGATTTAAATAAAACAGAAAAGCCAAATGTCTCCTAAAAAAAGTCGCCGTAACAAATCTGGTTTTGCTTGCTTGTGAGAAAATTTGAAATTATGTAGCTTCTTAAGTATGGGGGGAAATGATGTGAGATGATTATTTTTCTTGACCATACTTAAATAATTATAGCTGTTTTGCTTCATTAGGAATTGAGTGGATAGAAATCACTACCTAGCTAAGAACCAAATACATGTTTAATATGGATTAGAGTGAGTTTATTTGTAGATTACCATTTAGCTGCTATTCATAGAAATATGCAGACAGAAAGATTTAACTGTGCAGCAGTTTGGAACTGATTGGTAATTGGAAATTGTTCTTTTGTTCTATTAAATAATATTTGAATGACAGTCAGCAGAAAGTTGTACAAGAGGAGAAAAGGCAGGAGAAAGGTGACTTATGGGTCTTATAATTAGAATGTCACTGATAAGTGATGGTCTACAATATAAATGTGCATTAACAATCGACATTTATATAGGAACTGGAAGGACTTATAGTATGTGGTGGTTTTTGTTCTGGGGTCTGTCTTGTCAGAGAAAAACATTGGCTTTTCTTCAAATAGCAATTCATTTTCTGTTAAAATACAGTAAAGTACAAAGAGTCAGTGACATTTAAAGTAACAAGTATGCTGATAAAATGTTTTGGCTTTCCTGTGAAGTGTGCCTACACTTAGTAATGTTTTCCTCTTCCATCTTTTTTATTTTTTATTTTTTAAAAAATATATTTTTTTATTGATTTTAGAGAGAAGAAAGTAGAGAGAGAGAAAAAAGACATCAATTTGTTGTTCCACTTATTTATTCATTCACTGGTTACTTCTTGTATGTGTCCTACCTGGAAATCAAACCCGCAACCTTGGCTATCGGGAGGAAGCTCTAACCAACCGAGCTACCCAGCCAGGGCTTTTTCTCCTTTTGTTTTTTAGATTTATGTAATTTTATGTTTTGTGTGTTTGTTTTTTTAAATTTATCTTTATTGTTGACAGTATTATATATCCTCCTCCCCCCATTTTTTTTAAACTCTTTTCATCTTTTTTTAACTTTATTCCCTTATTTGAAAATCGCTTCTGAATGTTCATCAAAGTTGTGATTCTCAGTGTACATATCTTTTACGGCAGTGTCTTGCAGGGTGGTCCAGGGGCCCCCGAGACTCTTTCAGGATTCAAAACTATTTTCATAACAACACTAATACATTACTTGTTATAGGTATACAGAGGAGTTTTCCAAAGGCCTCATGATGTTCAACTGCATGCAGAGATAAGATAGAATCCAGCTGTCTTCCTTAATCCAGACATTAAAAAGACTTGCAAAAGATGTAAAATAAGGCCACTCTTCTCACTAGATTTGCAGTGAGAAGCACTGGGGTTTATTTCTACATTAGAATATTACAGTGACCCCAGTGTCGGTCAGAATGTCCCTGCCCTCTCTAGTGATTGGGTAAACTGTGAGTGGTCACAGGCAGTGCCCACCACACACCTCCATGTAGATTCTAGTGACATTCTGATAAATTGGGGCTGTCTCTCCCAGTCTAGAGAAGTGATAATTCTGTTCCTTTTTCATAAATTGTGCTAAAGGACAAGTTCTAAATTATAAGGAGCTGTTGGAAATCTGGCCTTAAAGGAGAAAGGAGGGTTTGTTGTTTAGTGGAACACTACCAACCTTGCCAATTGTTCTTTGTATTGATTGTTCTCAACTTTGGGAGGACCATAAGGACCTTTCAGGACAGCCTTTTATTTTTCAGTGTTTATTAAGCACTGGGTCCTGTTCTAGGGGCTGGAAATAAGTCAGTGAACAAAATAAAAGCAAAAAACCTCTATTGTCATGGCACTTCCATTCCAGCTTTTGAGTCCTCTGCCCTTGGCTGTGCTTCCCCTCTAGAGTAATCTGAATTAATGGTAGTGGAGCTTGAACACTGACTGGTGTTTCTTATTGTCCGAGTATTGAAGATAGACTAAAACTGTATATATATATATATATATATATATATATATATATATATATATATACACACACACACACACACACACACATACATATATATATATATATATATATATATATACATACATACACTAGAGGCCCGGTGCACAAAAATTTGTGCACTGGGGGTGGGGGGAGGGTCCCTCAGCCCGGCCTGTGCCCTCTCGCAGTCTGGGACCCCTCGGGAGATAACAACCTGCTGACTTAGGCCTTCTCCTGGGTGACAGAGGGCAGGCCCAATCCCTAGGTGCAGCCCCTGGTCGGGCTCAGAGCAGGGCTGATTGGGGAGTTGGGGCGCCGCCCCCTGTCATGCACAGAGCAGGGCAGATCGGGAGGTTGCGATGCCACCCTCAGTCACGCTCAGGGTAGGGCCAATCGGGGTTGGGGTGCTGCCCCCTGTCACTCACACAGCAGGGCCCATCGGGGGTTGGAGCTCCGTACCCTGTCACACACAGAGCAGGGCCGATCAGGGGGTTGGGGAGCTCCCCCCTGTCATGCACAGAGCAGGGCCCATCAGGGGGTTTGGGGCTCCGTACCCTGTCACACACAGAGCAGGGCCGATCAGGGGGTTGGGGGGCTTGGGGCGCCGCACCCTGTCATGCACAGAGCAGGGTCTATCAGGGGGGTGGGGAGCTCCCCCCTGTCACACACAGAGTAGGGCCGATAAGGGAGTTGGGGCACCGCCCCCTGTCACACACAGAGCAGGGTGGATCAGGGGGTTGGGGCGCCACACCCTATCACACTCAGGGCAGGTCTGATGGGGAGGTTATGGCTCTACCCCGTCACACACAGAGCAGGGCCCGTGGTGGGGGAGGGTTGGGGCACCACACCCTGTCACACACAAAGCAGGGCCGATCAGGGGGTTGGGGTGCCACACCCTGTCACACACAGAGCCGCAGGGTGATCAGGGGGTGGGAGAGCTCCCCCCTATCAGGCGCAGAGCAGAGCTGATCAGGGGGTTGGGGTGCCTTCCCCTGTCACGAACAGAGCAGGGCGGATAGGGAGGTTGTGGCCCCGCCCCCTGTCACACACAGAGCCGCAGGTCGATCAGGGGGTTTGGGCGCTGCCCCCTGTCACGCTGCTCCTGGTGCCAGGAGGCCTCGCGGCTCCGCTGATCCCGGTGCTGGGAGGCATATTACCCTTTTACTATATAGGATAGAGGCCTGGTGCACTTGTGGGGGCTGGCTGGTTTGCCCTGAAGGGTGTCCTGGATCAGGGTGGGTGTCCCCACTGGGGTGCCTGGCCAGCCTGGATGAGGGGATGATGGCTGTTTGCAGCTGGTCACACACT